TTGATTAAGGGGAAGGAGATGAAGAAGTCTTATGTTATGCCAAGAAAATGGGGATTTGGAGAGTAAGGAGGTAAAGCAAATAATAAATACGCTACTATGCAAGGAAAGAAATATGAGGAGTAGTGTCAATTTGGCAAGGAAATCTTAAATAAGAAATTAGAGTAGATCCCGATGGAGGGAAAGAGAAAAGCCCCTTTGAAGGTTAAAGGAAAAACTAAAGAAAATATAGCACCTGGTATAAGCCGAAATGAGCCCAATTTTGTCTGTCCAAACTTATTTTCTATTTTTAGAAATAATGGTAAAGGCACGTCTGGTGGGGCCACTCCTCAAAAGGCTAATAGGCCAGGTTGTTTGGAATTGAATGCTGTTGGGTATATGAATGACATGGGCCAAGATGCAAGTGGGTACTATACCGTGAATCAGCTAACAGCTAGTGCTAGGTTAATTCCTCAAGAGCTGGATGCCGTGATTAAAATGGATATCACACTTTTGTAAAGGTATTAGATCGGGCTTGCAAGCGCATTCTTCTTAATTTGTTTTTTTAATAAATTTTATGCTTTAGAATTCTAGAGATACTGGGTAACGAATTGAAGTGTAGATATAAGGTGGAACTTTTTGGCTATAGTAGAGACTCATTCTAGTAGTCTGAATGCTTATAATATTGCCAAGTCTCTTGTTTTTTAAAATTTTTACATTGTTGATGTAAGAGGATATAGTGGAGGTCTTTAGCTCTTGTAGGATGATTTAGAGTGAAAAGTTGAGATTCTTAATAATCATGCTCAATATATTCGTTTCAAGGTCAAGAGGAGCAGTATGAGCTGCTATGGCATGGCTATATATGCAAGCTTGAATGTAGTTAACAGAAATCTTCTTTGGAATGAACAAAGGTATATTAACCTAAACATTAATAGCCCCTGGTTCATAGGAGGGGACTTTAATTGTACTTTGTCTAGCTATGAAAGGCGATCTCTATCTTAAAATCCTGCTATTGCTGATCGAAATTTTTGCTTGTTAGTAGATGAGTTGGAGTTAATTGATATGGAGTATAAAGGGTCGTTGTTTACTTGGCATAGAACTAGGTGTAAGGGTAATTGATTGTGTACTCATGAATGAGGACAGTAGCTATAGATTTTCAAATGCATCTATTTTCAGTTTACCATATTGCAAATTTGATCACAAGCTTATTATTTTGAGGATGTATGAAGATGCTATCTCATATCCTTCACGACCTAAGCTATTTAGATTTCTTGCTTCTTAGGTCCTTCATAATGAGTTTGATTAATTGGTACATGAGAACTGTAATAATCATGCTAACTAGAATGACAATACAAGTTCTTTTATTGAGGTTGTTATGAAATGGAAGGATGAAGTTTTTGGGCATCTAAAAAAAGAAAAAGTTATTGATTCATAGGCTTGAAGGTCTTTCTAAAACGGACCAGCCCTATTTTAATGCACCTACGAGAGAGGAGCTGTAACACAGACTTTGGCTTAATCTTGAGGAGATTCTTATGCAAGAAAGCCTCCTTTGGGCATAAAAAGCTAAGTATGATTGGTTTTTTCTAGTGATAAAAATACTAGATATTTTCATGCTAAAGCCAATGCTCGAAGAAAGGTGAATATAATTGAAGCTCTTATGAAGGAAGATGGTAGTTAGGAATATGAAACTGAAGGGATTACTTAGATTGCTAAAAGCTTCTTCTCTAACATTTTAAAGGATGATAGGGGTCAAAGACATTCTGTTTAGTCTTCTCATTCTTTTCTTGAGGTTAGTAATGTTCAGATAAACTGATTATCTAGAATGTTGTTGAGAAGATTTGTAGAGCTTTATTTGATACAAGGCCACTGAAGTCTTCTGGTATAGATAGGATGAATGCTCTATTCTTCCAAAACCTATGAAAATTAATTAAGACTTCTATAATCTCTATGGTGCAGAGTAGTTTTAGATATCCCTCTTTAATGAGGGACCTTAATGGTACATTTATTCTGCTTATTCCTAAGAAAGAGAACCTGAGAACTATTTGTGATTTTTGACCTAAAAGTTTGTGCAATGTGGTTTATAAAATTATAATGAAAGTGATATCTAATTGAATAATATGGATTTTGCCTTCTATCATTGCTCCTAACTAATGTAGTTTCGTGCCTGGAAGGGAGAGATTTGATAATATTATTGTTACATAAGAGGTAATTCACTTAATAAGGAACATGAAAGGAAAGAGACATTTTATGGCCATAAAGATAGATCTTGAAAAGGCTTATGATCGTATTAAATAGGATTTTGTTCGGGATTGTCTAGTCAAATTAAAATTGCCAATTGAATTGGTTGATATTATTTACAGATGCCTAGACACTTCCAGTATGCAAATTCTTTGAAATGGTCACGGGATTGAGGAATTCTTGCCTACTTGGGGGCTTCGATAAGGTGATCCTATATCTCCTTATCTTTTTGTGATTTGTATTAAGAAGTTGGCTTATATGATACAGGATCAAATTCATAAGGGTTCTTGGCAGCCAATTAGACTTACCAAATTGGGACCTGCTTTGTCACACCTATATTTTACTAACGATCTTGTGATTTTTATGGAAGCTTTTATTGAGCAAGTGTAAGTTATTAAGAATTGCCTTTCTTAGTTTTGTATGTTTTCGGGTCAAAAAGTTAATCAAGCAAAGACTCGAGTCTTCTACTTTGCTAATGTGTCTCATACCAGGAGGAATCAACTATCTGACCTTCTGGGGTTTTCTAGTATAGCTGACCTTAGAAAATATCTTAGGGTCCTTGTACATCATAAATGTGTTACAAAAGGCTACTTATGGGTATGTGGTGGATACGGTTAAGAGTAGACTTAATAATTGGAAGATTTCCAATCTTTCTTTAGTGGGACGGAATACTTTGATCAAGTCTGGGTTGTCTACTATTCCCCAATATCCTATACAAATAGCCTTGCTTCCCACTATGATTTATGATGAAGTGGAGAAGCTTTTTAGATCATTTATATGGGTTTTCCTAGGAGAAAAGGAAGATTCACTTAGTGGCTTGGGATAAGGTTTGCCAAAATAAGGATAAAGGTGGTTTGGGTATCAAATCTCTTACTATGCAAAATCAGACTTTCTTGATAAAGAAAGGGTGGGAGCTTATTCATAAAAAAGAATCTCTTTAGACTAGAGTTGTATATACCGAATATAAATATGGGGATGATTTGTTACCAAAAATTGAAAGGAAACAACCTAGGTCAAGGATTTGGAATGGTATTAAGAAGACTTGGGATTTATTAGAAACAGGCCTTTAGCAATTTACTCTTCCTAATAGGCAAACTTCTATCCATTGGAGACCAAAAAAGAATAGGTACTTTACCATCAAGTCGCCTTATGAGTTATGTCATGATGATGACATTATTCCTTCACAATTGTATAAAAAATTATAGAAATTGAAGGTTCCTTTTTAGTGTAAGTCCTTCCTGTGGTTAACTATTCAAGATAGATTGTTGATTAATGAAGTGCAATGAAATTGAGGTATGTGTGTTGATGCTAATTGCTCTAGATGTGCTTATGAATGTGAAAATATTTTACATGTTTTTTTAAGATTGTGCCTTATTGAAAGAAATCTAGATTAGGAATGTTCGACCTAAACATCTTGAGAAATTTTTTACTCTAAATGCATCGAATTGGTTCAAATGGAATCTGAGCTCTAATGTGGGAAGGAATGTTGATACTTAGATTGAATGATTCTCTGTTGTTTGCTGGCTTTTATGGAAGAGACGTCATGAATTTGTTTTTCAAGGGAAGGATATAGATATTGCCAACATTGTGGCATATGCTAGAGGTATTAGATGTATGAGTTTGAGTCATAGTAAGCTTGGTGTGCATAATCTTGGTAGGCAAGGAGTATCTTAAAGTCTTCCTGTATTAAATCGAGAATTTGATAGCTTTAGTATCTTTGTTGACGGTGCCTACACGATAAGCACAAGATTAGTGGGGTGTGGAGGTATAGTCAAGGATGGGAATGATGTTTTGAAAGGTGGCTTACTTGTTAGGCTTCATAAAAGGGATGCGCTTTTTGCTAAGCTACAGGCATGTGTTATAGGCTTAAAGTTTGCATGGGATAAGGGAATTCGAGTTGGTATTTTGTTTTTTGATTGCTTTAAAGCAGTCAACCTTCTTCTAGGAGGTGATATAGATTACGATGAATATGCATCGGTGATAAAAGAAGCAGGTGAGTTGCTGCAAAGGGATTTGAGGATAAAGGTTATTCTTATTCCTAGAGTTAGAAACCATGAAGTTGATAGGCGTGCAAAGAAAGCATTGAATACTTCACTCAGCTTCCAGAATCTTTAAGTTGAAGACCTCTATGGAGATGTTCTTTTTAAACCTCCTTAGTTCTCTATTCTCGTTCTACTTTATTTTGTGTTGTTTTGCTTTTTTTTTTCCTTCCCTTTTATTAAAAAAGAAAGAAATAAAGCAGCTGCAACAATATTATATTGAAATTCTTTTAAAAGACACATCTTTTATTAACAAAATTCCTCAACAACCTACCCTATTTTGTGAAATTTTTTTTTTCTTTTTTAACCAAACTAATTAAAATTTTCTTTTTTTTTATTTTTCTCCTTTCCATTTCACTTCAACCAAGCACAATGTAAGGAGACAGAAGCAAGAAGGCGTGAGGCTATTGAGGAAGTAAACGCTAAAAATTCAATTTAAAGTTGCAAAAAAAGAAATTAAGATTGAGAATTTGAAATGAACCATATATAATCAAGTTAAAATTAAACCAATCAAGTTACAAAAATAATGCGAATAGATATGTATTTTATTGTTTACATAATTATTTTCGTTCAAAAAATTGAAGAATTTTTTTATTTATAATTATAATCATTTTTTATGTTATATTTTATTCCATTTTGTTTGCCAAATGATGTGGGATTTTTAAAATAAACAAGCCAGCCAAAAAGCAAAGCAAATGACAAAACGGAGTCGCATCATGTCATAATCAACTTAAAAACCCACCCAAGTCTGGTGGGGCGACTATTTGCAGACATTTGCAGTGCAGTGCGGTGGCGCCCCGCGGGAACTGAAAGAACCATGGCTACGGAGCTCGAGGAGCTTATAGGCTTCCTGTCTTCTCCGTCACCTCAAGTAAAGTTTCTTACTCTCTCGTTTTGTTTCTTTTCCATGAAATTGTCGGGAAATTATATTCGGAGTTCTACGAGCTTCTTTTAGGAACATTAACATTAAACAATTTTCATGTTCTTACTTATTAAAAATTTAGTTCCTGCAAAATCAATCGCGTGATAACAGTTTGGATATAGTACTAATGTATGACGGGACTCTTCTTTTTTAAAAAATAAATAAACAAATTAAGCATCGAATAATAGTGAAGCGTGTTGTTTGTCTCACAGATAACGAAGGTTGCTGTTGATATAGTTCGTGGACTAACTGGCTCTGATGATGGCTTGCAATCCTTGGCCAAATATGCAAAGACAGTGCTACCATCATTATCTCAACTCCTAGCTGGTCCGAAGGTGCTTTTGAAATCTAGAGAGTCAATTTTACATTTATTGTTCTTAAGTTTTTCGGTGTCTCCAAATCTGGATGCAAAAGAATGAATAACTCAAACTGTTTCTTTAGACCCAAAAAACTTAATTAAAGGTGCGCTTGGTTTGAGGCGAGGCGAGGGAGTTGATATTACTTTATTTGGTTTAGGAGGAGAGAGGAGGAGAGGAAAAATAATTATATATGAATAATTTTATTCTCGTTTTATTAGTGTTGAGATGCTTGGGAAGTGTATCTGTATCTTTTGAATTGCATACTGGTCAAGGTGTAACAAATTTTACCCCTCCCCTCCCAATCCCCCCAAAAAATTTCCCCTCCCCTCCAACCAAACACCCCTCCTAAATGTTTATCCAAATCATGAATTTTGTGGTGTTTCAAGATTGTTCATCTAGTCCCAGAATGAAGGAAAAAAAAAATTCAGAAAACTAAACTTTTGGGAAATATTAATGTTATGATCCATGAGCAAATTCACAATTTGGGGTAGCATTTATTCAAGACGTAGTTATGGATCAAAAGAGCTGCTATGCCCTTCCAGGAGGTTTCTGAACCTGCAGCTGAAGCCCTTGTTAATCTATCTCAAAACTCAAATCTAGCAGCCGAGATGGTTCATTTGGGAATGATCAAAACTGCAATGGATGTTTTATGCAAGCCAGAGTGTACCATTACACGCTTGCTTGTCATGCTTTTGGTGAATCTTACGCAACTGGATGCTGGCAGCACTTACTTGCTCCAGGTGTGTTTTATGTTACTCTGTGATGATTAGGTATTTTTGTAATTTAGCTTTCTTTAAATTTATTTTTTCAATTTGTGAATGTCATCCGTGCATGAGGTGACATCTGAAAATGTTTTGGAGTTTTACTATATTATTATAATTGATGAAATGGCTACTACTGTCATCATACAGAATATGGCATTGGTATCGTTTTTTTTCCTTTTTATTTATTTTATGGAAATATCAATTATTGATTCTTGTCGGGTTGTCAGACTGATGATGATAAGATGCATGGACTATATGTGATGAAGCTTGTCAGATCATTTTGTAGAACTACCCATGAAGGTCATGGTGCGTCCATCCAAGCTCAATGTGACTTCTGCAGAATTAATACAAAATTCTTTTGTCCAGATTTTTTTAAATTTATTTGGTCAATTGCTTAAATAGTTGTAAAATAATTAAAAAAAAAAAATAAAACCCCGTGGCTTGTAATGCACTTCTTCACTTATTCTCTAAACATAATGGTTGCTTGATCATAATTTAATCCACTGTCTAGAATCCATACTCACACTGAAAGTTTTTCTTTCCCTTCATGTTTGCATGGATTGATGATGATATGATAGAGTTTCAAAAGAAAGTGCAAAAATAAAGAGATTATCGGAGGATCAACTAAAGAATCCTAACACTGAATTTACTATTAATGAAAGGCAGACAATCTCCAAATTGCAAGTGATAAACATCAACATCAAAGGCTAATTCTCCTAGGTTACGTCTATAAATAGAAATAAAAAAATAACTACTTCCCTACCCATTAGCAGGGAGTAGTTTCATGCCATAGATCGATCACACCTATTGTACGCTGTGACTGTGCACAATTAACTCAACTTCCTAATTCCTAATTAACAACCTCCAACTTATTGCCCACTCTTCTGCCCTTTTGGATATCTTCACATGTTTGTGCCTTCTTAAATCGTTACATAGGGACTGCTAACGTGGTGATATCCTATCATGATTTCAACCAATTTTCTAGACTAGTAGCATTCTGAACAGACAAAATAATATGCTGGAGAGTCCAGTGTGAAGGCTAAGGTTTCTTCTCAAAGGTGTTCAATAGTTAGATATAAGAAAACTTTTGGCTTTTGTGTTCTTGAAATTTTCTGTGCTTTGTAGTTGGCTTTTGTGATTATTCATAATTTTTAACAAATCATTGCTCTGGTTCAGTGATTTCCCCCCTAATTTGTAATAGATGGTCCTTTTGAGCATGTTGGGTCAATACTTGTTAATATCTCAAAGCAGCAAGCAGGAAGGAAGCTTCTGCTTGATCCAAGGAGGGGGCTCTTGAAGCAGATAATTAGACAATTTGACTCAAACAGCTCATTGAGAAAGAAAGGGGTATTTACAATGACTTACATTTATGTTTTTCAATCTCATGCAGTGTTTGAATAGCTTGATATTAGTTCTTGAGTAGTATAAAGCAGTATACTATTTTCCATTTACTCTATTTTTATACATGCTCTTGAAGGAAGTGGCAAGTCAATTGGAGAGGCTGCTACGTCATTTTGATATGTCAATGGTCCGATGCTCTGTTAGTCATATAAACTCATTTACTTTTGCTGCTGTTGAGCATTGCATCCATAACTGGAGCTTATGGCTTTAAACCTAGGAATTTTTTAACTGTGTGAATGGAACTGAATTGATTCATGCTTTTGACCGGCTCATGTTGAATTATGAATTATCTCTTGATAGATTGTTGTATTGTAATCATGCTTTCTCCATAAATGCTGTATTGTTTGTTGTGATTACTTTAAATTACTAAAAGTCAGTGGTTGACCAAACTTGGGCAGAACTTTCAGCTCATCTGATATAGTTGTTATGTTTGATTGCTTTGCAGGTATTTGGGACTTTACGCAACTGTTGTTTTGAAGCTGAAAATCAACTACAGAATTTGCTTTTGATATCTGAGTTTCTCTGGCCAGCATTACTGCTTCCAGTTGCTGGCCATAAGGTTACATGATCTACCTTCTTTGACCCCAAATTTTTGGCATTTCTGATTATTGTCAAATAAGATTCCTTCCTACCGAGCGAAACGATTTTTAACTGCTTTAAAAAATGAGCCCAATTCATTAATTTTTCTAGAACGGAAATAATCTTCTCCATGGTCCTGTAATTTGTTGTATGAATTCCCTTCTGAAAGGCATGAAAGAGCTCAATCTTCTGTGCATCTAGTGTTGTCATTGCTGTGTAGAATGATAATATGTTTAACAGAGTAAAGAAAAAAGAAGAGAATACTTTATACAGAATCTTGTCATAGTAAAGTATAAATTTCCTAAATCATATAGAAAATATTCATTTAAAGGGTGCCAGCTTTTGTTGCGAACTTGCAATCAGTTTCAAGTGGTCTTTGTCAGTGTTCATATCCATGCCCCCCCGCCCCAAAATTTTGTTTTTCTGCATTATTTTTTTCATGTTTTGATCATTTCTTACCTTGTCATCTATTGTTTAGTTGGCATTTCTGAACAGAGGAAACATAATCACTAATCCCTGTAGTTTTAACATGTTTTGCTTTTAATCCCTGTAATTTGTTTTCAGTATTTTTAGTCATTTAATTCCTGTAATTTAACATTGTTGGAGAGTTCAGGAACAAACATCACCCAATTTTGCTAAAACTACAAGGACTGATGACACTGGAAAAAAAAACTACAGAGACTAAAAGTAAAACCCAATGAAACTATAGAAACCAATAATAGTGTTTTCCCTTCTGAATGTTTATTATATGGACATGGTTTATGTATCATACTCTCTTTCATTGACAAAGCAATTGTTTTGCAGTTATACAGTGAGCAAGACACATCAAAAATGCCACTTGAACTTGGTACTGCACTCTCAATTGAGCGCGAACCAGTTACTGATGCTGATATTCGTATTCAAGCATTGGAAGCCATATACTTGATTGTATTGCAGGTAAATTTAAAAAAGAAAGAAAGAAAGAAAGAAACATGTCTCCAAATCTATGCTTGAACACTATTGGTACTGAACAGATTTGAATCTTTGTACCCTGTCCATTTGAAAGTAGGAAGGAAAAATCTTTTGCTGTACCCTCTTTTGCTGTAACAGGTGAATATTTGATGTAGAACGGGAGGGGGAAGGGGGAAGGGGGAAGAGAGAGAGAGAGAGAGAGAGAAGAGAAGGGACGAGAGGAGGGAGCGACAAAAAGAGAGGAGGTAGAAACCAGACGGATAGAGGGTGAAGAAAAGAAACTCGAGGGAGAGAGGGAATACTCAAATTTTAATGTTATTCAATTCATAATCAAAGGCCTACAGAATAAGAAATGTTAAGGCCTACTTATAAAGCCTTAATCCTAACCCTAGAATTAATTGCAAATTTTCTAGAATAATCTAAAAATCTAAAAAATTACATTTTATTGGAAAGATTACTGAAATAAAGGAAAGATAACAGATATTTTCCGAATCTTGAATTTTCTTCAAATCTCCCATTAATTGCCAATCTTCAAATATTATTCTTCTTTCTTTTCTTCATTTCATCAATATTTCTATCATATGTTTAGAGCTAGTATGTTATTGAACCTAAGTATTTTGTATAATTCATCATGAAAAAATGTCTCTTCCTTCCTCTTGGTCAGGGTTGAGTGAGGGGATTTAGAAGTTGTATGTTAAACAGTTTGCATAGCTGTAGATGATCCTAGAGAAGCCATTCAAAAGCAAAATGGAAGTAGAGAACTAGAGATATCAGATACATCGTGCATTGCCCCACAGCATAGTAATAGAGGAGAGAGATAGAGTTTCTAAAGCTACTGTGAGGTTGCGTAAAATTAAGATGTCGAAGACAACCCTGATAGCAATCCTTTTAAAACTCTCATATTTGATTATTATTAATAATTATCCATTTTTAACTTAGCACTGTCATAGGAAACCCACTTAGTACTTGTGAATGCGTCTAATATGTTTCCATTTGATGATGTAGATTCGTGGTGTGTCATTGACAAACCATTCTAGTTTCTATTACCTGATAAACTAGCAAAAGATTACGTGACATTTTTCTCCCTTTCTGGGGGCTGCATCTACATGCATGCCTCTGATTGCCTTCAGAATGACCGAGTTTCCAAATTGAGCATCAAATTTACGCTGTTGTCATCTTGCAGGAGGCAGGTCGAAGAGCCTTTTGGTCTGTAAACGGACCGAGGATAATTCAAATTGGTTATGAAGATGAGCAAGATCCAAAAGTGATGGAAGCATACGAACAACTGGGATCCTTGGTAATGTCCCCAAATATTTCATAGTCTTTTTAACCTCATCGCCTTCTTCCTCTTACTGTGATTAGTACATATAATAACACTCTGAATCCGTGTGTCAGCTAATTCACAGCGGAGGAACAGAAGAACCATCCAGTGAGAGCGCAAAGTAGTGATACTTGGGTGTTATTCCTCTCGGCCTCCTAAATATCCCAGAAAGAAATCTGAACTGCAAACCAGCAAAAGATTATTCTAAGCCAAAATTTCCCTTTTTGATGCTTGAAATGCCACTTCTAGAGTTTAAACAGAATATGTGGCTTAGATGTTGTCCGAAATTATTATGCAAGCTTTAGATGCTGTGTTTTGCGTATGATTGGTCTTAGTCTTCATTTATGATGTATCAAGCATTGAGGATTTTCCTCGAACGACGCATGATTAGGAGCTCTGATTGCTGATGATTCTTTGATGGAGTGCATTTTTCATTAGTCTAACTATTTACCTTTGTACTGTTTTCTTGTCAGTGGAAACAGGGGGAAAATTCTAAATGTAACAAGTGTTTCACGGACAGAATAAATCTATGGGGAGTGCTTTCAAAACAATAAAACTAAGAAGGACCAATTTCCAAATTGAGAAAAACTACAGGTATAGAAAAGTCTGCGAAATGAATAAAATATTATTTAATTATTCGATTTGTGTGTGACCTTTATATCATGGAGTTAAAAATGCGTTAATTTAAAATATATTTAGAGGAAAAACTGAGCATATAAAAAGAGAAAAATATCAGTAAAGGGTCATTGGGGAAATTTATGTCGAGTAAGAATCATTTATTATTAAAATTTGAATAGATGTTTGTTGATTTAAATTAATTTTTTATCGACTAGTTATTAGGGTGTCAATAACTCATTTTAAATTAATAATAATTTATTTAAATTTATTTTTTATTTAAATTTTAATAACAATTAATTTTTAATTGATATAAATTTTTTTCAATGATTATTGATTGTTATTTTTTCTATAAAAAATTCATGACAAGTAAATTTAAATGGGTATATTAAAATATTACTTTTTAATAACGTGCAAGAAGTGTACATATATATTATTGAAGAGGTTCCCCCGTGCTTGCTTGTCTAGTAAAAGGTCTGTGAATATTGTATGCAATTATTTGGATCAATTAGCAAGAGGTCCTTTAGTAAGAAGTTTTGAGAATGTATCAATGTAAATGGTTAGGAGCCTCCATTCTCATGATACTTATCACCTCTCAATCCAAATTAGTCTAGGTCCTATTAAATTGTTAAAGCTTTTTTTTTTTGTCAAAGCCTTTTTTTATGGACCAACCAAGTCCTCAGAGCTTGAGTAAGGAAAGATCGAGATAGTAGATGCTCATGCACAGAGAGGGAGGGAGGGAGGGGCAGAGAGAGAGAGATTGGTGAATATGTATCAATGCTCTTTTGTTGGTGTTACTGACAAAATTAAGCGCATGTTTAAATATGAAAAAGTTTCTTAAACAAATAAATAATGTATTAAAAAAACAAGATGAGGATATTTATCATTTTTTATAATAATATTTTTTTTGAATAAAAGGCCACAGAGACACCATGTTAGATGACATTTTGTGTAATGTCAGCGAACAAAAGATTTCTACACCTAAGTGGTGGAGCGTAAAAAATGTGAACATTAAGATTGTAGATATAAGCCTGATGTGCCAACCAATCTGCATATTTGTTGGCCTTCCTATAAACGTAATCGAAGGTGACCGTTTAGTCTTTCAAAATAATATTTCTAATTTTGTTGATACTTGCAGTTAAAGGATGATTTATAAAGAACTCATTACGTATTAACGTGAGAGCTTTTATATAGTCAAAGTAAACATGAACTTTATCAATTTTTCAACCTAACAAATGCTTTATCCTTCCAAGATGCACAAAAGTTCAGCTCCTGTACATGGGAGATATCTAAGATACTTGGAGAAACTTTTGATTCAATTGCCATGTTCGTCTTGCATGAGTCCACAGCAAGAAGTAGCACCTTGATTATTGACAAACTATCTATATCAAGTCTAACACATCCATCTTTAGGGCATAACTATTTAACTTTTGATCTATCGCCCTTTTGACTTAGAAAGTTGATTTTTAATTGGATATATTGATTGTTGAGGATCTTTTGAATGCTAGTAAATGCAATGTCTCTATCAAGATTATCTTCAATGGAATAAATGTTTTTACATCTATCTTTTCAAATGTTCCAACACATGTAGGCAAACAGTTTCTGTTAAGGGATCTTTCTTAAATAAACATTACCTACATCATAATCTGTATTCTAAAGTATCCATTCATGAAGAAGGGGAGAAAAGAAAGTGTTATTAAGTGTAAATTTTTTAACTAATTTTATCCAAACCTTTCTAGAATTCTTGCAGTCTCTCAGGATATAAGCAGTAGAGTCTAAGGAGTTACAACTAAAGGAGCATGGCCTAGGACAGATATTGCCACCATTAGAGTAGGTGAATTTAGGTTGAAGATGATCCTAAGTTGCTTTCCAAGGAAAAGTCTTAATCTTCTTATATATTGGCCATTTTCAAATCTTAAACCCCATCTTAGAGTTGGGGATGTTGTAATGATTATCAATAGCCATATAAACAAATATGGTGGTGAAACTACCATTATTTGGAGGTCTCCAACAAATAATATCATTGTCAGCATTGGCATTAGGAGGTTGGACAACAATGATGTGATTAATGGCGTCCTGGTGTAGATATCTATGTAATTGATCAACTTTCCAACTAGTTAAAACAGAACAAAAATCAGAGACTTTTGTATGAAGAATAGAGTTTGCTTTAGGAGATGCATATTTAATGAGGGGTTCAAAAAGAAGGCACCATTTATCATGCTAGAAAGATATTTGGTCTTCCTTTGCTACCTTTCAACCTATGTGAGATATGAATTAGTCCTAAACTTTGTATATACTGGTCCATGTGTAAGAACAAGAGTTGGTTTTATGAACCATAAGGATGGTAGGGTTGTTGTATTTGTATTTATCACATAAGACATGAACCTAGAGACAATTAGGCTTCGTTATAATTTCCCAGCAAGCTTCATAATATAGGCCTTATTCTAGCTTTTAAACTTTTTGAAGCCAAGACCTCCATGATCTTTATCCTAGTGATATAGTCCCAAGATAATAGATGAGGCTTTTTAGTTTCATCGATTGAATCTCAAAGGAAGTTACGAGAGCAAGATTCCAAATCAGCAAGAACATTATCAGGTAAGAGCATGGTCTACATAGCATAGCTAGGAACTAAAGAGAGAACATATTTTATAAGAACAGCTTTCCTACCGGTGTTAAGAAAACAACTCTTCCAATTGGAAAGTCATGAATTAATTTGATCAATTAGTGGAGCAAATGTGAGTTTAGAAACTCTTTTATAAATAATAGGAATCCCAAGATATTTCCTAAGGTTGTTGATCAGGGGGATTCCTAGTTCTTCACTAAGCTAAATGACCCATTGATATTAACATTATTAGGCCAAAAATATGACAACTAGGCCTAGAAGCTTTGTAGAAATTAGTGAGACACCATTGGATAATCTTAGCTTGTTTAAGGGATGATTCTACAAAAAGAAATAAATCATTAGCAAAAAAATAAATATGAGATAGGAGGTCCATTTGTTGTAAGGCTAACGGGCTTCTAATCTTTTATATCAATGCTATTATAAATGCTATGACTTAAACATTCAATATAAAGAACAGAAAGATAAGGTGAAAAAGGATCTTCCTATCAAATGCCACGAGATGGAGTAAATTCATTAGTACATTTTCCATTTTAAAGGACTCTCATACGAGTGGAAGAGATGGCTGCCATGATGAGTTTTTTAAGTTTCTCACTAAATACGATGATATGAAGAGTATCATCAATAAAATTCTAAGAGAGTTTGTCAAAAGCTTTTTCAAGGTCTATCTTGAAAGCCATGAATCCCTTTTTCCCAATTTTATTTCCCATAGAGTGAATGATCTCTTGATTAATGTTGATATTATTACTACTTTGTTTTCCTTATTAGAAGCTATATTGGCTGTCTCTAATCAAATGATTCATACATTGTTATAGCGTGTTGGAGAATATCTTAATTATAATTTTGTAGCTCATATTGTAGAAAGATATCGGATGAAAATCCTTCATATGAGTTGGGTTATCAATTTTAAGGATAAGTGTGATGAAGGTGTTGTTGATTTTACTAATGAAAGTGGGTTCAATGAATATCCACTTGATAAGTTGGTTAATGCCATCTCTAAGATCGTTCTAATAGCATTGAATGAAGCTAGCATTGAGACTGTCAGGCCCAGGAGCTTTAAAAGCACCAATATCAAAAGAAGCATTTTTTATTTCTTCTTCAATAACTTCTTTATGGATAGACTACAATTGAATAAATGTTAGAGGTGGAAAACTTTTATTAGTTAACAACTTTGGCTTAGGTTGACCATCCTTGCTAAAGAGTTTTTCAAAGTAAGAGGCACTTTGGTTCTTAAGAGTGCAGTGATCACGGATCCAATTACCATATTTATCTTAAATTCATAATATCTAGTTTCTTTTTCTCCTGATGATGGCAGTTGTATGAAAGAATTTAGAATTCATGTCTCCCCATTTCAACCATTTGCATCTAGACTTTTGAAATCAGAAAAGTTTTTCTTGGAGAAGAGTTTTATTATAATTTTCTCAAAGAGACTTTTCAAGTTTCCTAAGGAAATAATTGTCTTTGAAATTCTTGTTACGATCAATTCCTTTAAATCTTCTTAAAATTCTTTTTTTGTTTGTTACGGTACTACCTATATAATTTTTATTCCATAAAGTCGCAGAGGTAGTGAATTTTGAAGCACCTTCTTTCCAGTCTTGATTGATCTAAGTTTGACTAATGATTAGAAGGAATCTTCAACCATCCAAGCAGCATGACATTTAAAAGGTTTTTCATGAAGTCTAGAATTAGCTAAATTCTTAAGTTGAATTCTAATTGGACGGTGGTCAAAGACATATTTAAGGAGATGGAAGGTATTCACTTGGTTGAATTTAAGTTTCCATTCAGTATTACAAAAGAACCAGTCAAATCTTTCCTTGATGTTATCTTTCTCTCAAGTAAATTTATCTCCAGTAAAGTTAAGTTTAAAGAGGTTAGAGGAATTGATGCATTATCTAAAAAGTTTCATAGACCTCTAATTATACCTGCTTTCACCACTATTGTCATCACAAGTGAGATAAGAGTTGAATTCACCTATAATGAGCAAGGATTAGTAATAGTAATAGCAAGATTATTGATAGTATTCTATAGTTGCTCCTAATTGTAAGGATTAGGATCACCATAGACACAAGAAAATGGATAGGATGTTTTCTTCGAGATATGATTGACTTTACAATAAAGAAGTTGAACGTTGGAATAGATATAATCAATGTTAACCTCATCATTATTCTAAAGCAACCA